ACAAAACTCCACTTACAAATCTGGGGATCTTATTTTGTTCCTGCTCGCTGGTAAAAACGCTTCAGGACATAAAATTTCTCTTTTTGTTTTGACAATCAGATAATATTTCACAACGAGGTTCTGAATGTGTTGACAGTGAGAGCGAAGAGTTCACGTCAGGATGATTCATCAACACCATTGCTGCTCTCACTGTTCAGTCCTCAGGCTGTAAAAAGCTGCTGAAGAAACATTTGGTTTCAGTTCGTCTGACACAAGTTTGGCTCAGTGTCGCCGTTTCTGAGCGAACTCGTCTGTTCAGATTACAGAAAGCTGCATCTGGAGCTGAACATGTGGAGACTCGCCTGCAGCCTGAACTCAGGGATAAACTGCAGACACTAAAGCCTGCTCATTATATTATAGTTTATAAAGCTTACATTTATTACATATATAATAAGTATTTCTAACATCAATGAATTTTATAACAGTCAAAAACAATTTATATTCTCATAGTTCATTAAAAGACAAAAACCATTTTTCCTCAAGAAAGATTAAAATTCATTCAATTCATTCCAAATATGAACTTTCAAGACTCTTTGTGTAAGCTAGCGTAAAAACACTACTATAATCATTCAAATCCACTTACAAATCTCGATTTTATTCAGGCATTCTTTTCAAGCTACTTACATTTAACTTTGTATTTAGACAGAATATAAATCTGTATAATTTATCTTAAAACTTCCATTAAACATTTATCACGTCTCTTTCTTCCTCTTGTTTAAGGCGTCAAGAAAACCACAAACCACGCGTTCAACAATTCAGGCTTCTCAGTTCAAAATGTCCTAACCTACTGGTCTGTGGTCTGTCCTGTCTGTCTAATCTGTCTACCACCTGTCTGCTCTGCTCTGCCTGTCTCTGTCTGCTGTCCCTCTCTCCTGCGCCAACGCTCGCCCTGCTCTGTCTTTGTCGTCTGATGAACAATTGAACATAATAATTTAAATAAAATACAGATCAATGAACTAAAACTGCATAATAAATATTATTGTTACATATTTTTATATATAGAATGAAATTAAAAAGCAGATCACCAATTATTAAGTTAATTAATAAACCCTTCAACTTGAACATAATTTCATTGGTCAAAGGTCGCAGGTCATCCACCACAGAGCCGACATCATCAGAGCAAGCAGGGAGAGAAGAGCAACACGTTATCTGGCGAAGCGACACTGACTGAGAGAGAGGAACACACTGATGGAGGAAGAGCAGAGAGAAGACACCTGATGACGAGAAACGACGACACACACTGCTGAGAAGAGAGGAGAAGAAGAACACTGATGAGAGAGCAGAGAAGAGAGAGAGAGACACTGACTGACAAGAGAGAGACACACTGATGAGAGAGAAGAGAGAGAGAAGACACACTGACTGAGAGAAGAGAGAGAAGCAACTGACCTGAGAGAGAGAAGAGAGACACACTGACTGAGAGAAGAGAGAGAGAGAGAGGAACTGAACTGAGAAGAGAAGAGACAACTGCACTTGAGAGAGAGCAGAGACACACTGATGAGAGAGACGAGAAGAAAGACACACTGACTGAGACAGAGAGAGAAGAGAGACACACTGATGAGAGAGAGAGACACACTGACGGAGAGAGAAGGAGAGAGAGAGAGACACTGATGAAGAAGAGAGAGAAGAAGAGAAAGAACTGATGAGAGAGAAGAAAGAGAGAAGAGAGACACTGATTGAGAGAGAGGAGAGAGAGAGAGAGAGCGACATATGAAGAGAGAAAGAGAAGAGAGAGAGAGAAAGAAGACATCGATGAAAGAGAAGAAGAAGACACGACTGAAGAAAGACGGAGAAGAAGAGAGACTACTGAGAGAAGGAGAGAGAGAAGAAGAGACTGATGGAGAGAAAGAAGCGAGGAGAGAGACACTGACTGAGAGAAACGAGAGAGAGGAAGGTTGTCTCTTACACTGGAAAGCTACAGACCTCTACAGACCACCTAAGACACACTAAGACACTACAGACCCCCTACGACACTACAGACCACTAACAGACCCTACAGAATCAGACACTACAATCTACAGACCTCTACAAACACACACAACTACAGCCTCTAACAGACCCTCTACAGACACTACACCTCTAATACCTCACTACACGACCCTACACGAACACTAAGACCTCTACATACCTCTACAACCCTCTACAAGACCACACAACCTCTACATACCCTCTACAGACCCTCTCAGACCACTAAGACCTCTACATACCCTCTAAGACCCCTACAGACATACAGACCTCTACTACTCTACAACCTCTACCAAACTACAACTCTCATACCCTCTACAACCCTACAGCCACTGAAGAGCCACTACAGACCCTACAGGAGCACTACACGACTCCACAGACTCTACACATCCTACACACAACTCTCACACTCCTAAAGACCTCTAACAACACTACAAACACTATAAACAGACTCTAAGCACACATACTTACCTAAGCCTGGAGACACCCTAACCTCTACAATCACAATACTTACAGCTAAGACTTAATCCTACCCACTAAGACCACTACTACAACTTAAGACCTAATACCCTCACAGACCTCTAACCAAAATAAGACTTTACCGACACTACAATCCTCTCAACGCTCACCACACCACACTCAAACCTCTACAACCACTACATAGTACCTCTACAGACTCTACACAACACTACAGACCCTAAACCTCTACAAACAACTACGACCTCTACAGACACTAAGACCTCTACAGACCCTCTAACAGCATACAGACCACTACTACACGACCTCTACAACCACTACATACTTCACAGACTCTACACAACACTACAGACCTCATACAGACACTACATACCTCTACAGAACTCTACAGACCCCCTAAACGGGTCCAGTTGGAGGGCTGTGTTATTTTTTACGTGCATCGTGTTGTGAAAGTGAAACCCAGCAGAATCAGAACCCAGTGTTTCCGGGAACAACCGCTGCAGCCAAGGAGGAGATGGCTCGAGCTTCGTTCTTTCCTGCTGAGAAACAGTGGTGTGTGTGTGTGTGTTCCAGGCATTCTCAAAGATGCTCCAGAGATTCTTAATGAGGTTTTGTTGGATAGGTCCTGGAGTCCTGGATGAGATTCCAGGTATCCCTTTATGGTAACTTTGGGAACTTTGGGAACCGTGGAAAGGTACCAGAGGTCTTTGAAAATGGCTTTGAGAGGGTTCAGTGGGTCCTTGAATATCCTCAAGGACCTTCCCTGTGTAACGGTCTGCATTATCGCTGTGGTTGCTATGGTTACCTGCAGTTAAAGGTGACTGACTGGTTTGGACACAAAGACGTAACCACATCAGCAAAGGAGGCGTCACCATGGTAACCAGATGGATGAATCTGATTGGCTGTCTGCCCGGCAGTAAAAACGCCGGCATGTTGCTGATGATGAATGTGGGAACGAGCAGTGACCTTTGACCCCTGTGAGGCTGTTAGAGACTCACTCTGAATCTTTAATGTGGGGTCAAAGGTCAGGCTGCAGAGAGGGTTTGAGACCTCTGCTGGATAAACAAGAATCCTTTTTCTTTGGATTGAAGGTTGTTCTTTGTTTTGTTTTTGTTTGCATGTGATTGGTCCTTTAAAAGAGTGACATCACTTCCTGTTTAGCCTTCCATTTCTTTACATTTGGCAAACATTTTCTTTCCTAAACTATAGGAATATAGATATATTTAATATATTATATAATATAGATATATTTAATATATTATATAATATAATATATTAAATATATGAATAAATCTCTGTTCCTTGACACAAAAATAAATAAAAAACAAACAGGTTGATTATGAGGACAAAATATGAAAGAGTTAACATTAATTAATAGTTTGTTTACGGGTTTTTAAAAGTGAATATATGTTATTTCACTAAAATAATGAGTAAATTAATGATATATTGTTAATTGCTGGATAATATTAATAACTAATATTTTTGTTTAAGTCAAATTTCGTTTCCAACTGAGAATCCAGAATACGAACAGATTTATAATGTTTTATATAATATATATATTATATATTATAATAATTAATAATTAACTGTTTCAGACACAAGACTCATCGACTTTTGGTGAAGTTGTAAATATTTCTGTCTGTTTCCTTGTTCCTGGTTTGTTCCTCCATTAGCTGCTGAAAGGCATCATGGGAAATGAAGTAAACAGCAGCAGGATGGATTGCGTGTGTGTGTTTCCATGGCGACGGTCAGGTCAGTTTAATGTGTAGAGACAATGAGGAAGTGAACTCTGATCTCAGGTGTTATTGTGACTCAGACTCAGACAGAGAACAGGGCTGAAGAATCTGCCGTGGTTGAACGGAACCGGAACCCTGATAAAGACTGGACCTGGCTTGTGGTTTGAACCGGAACCGGACCTGATAAACGACGCTGGACCTGCTGTGGAGAGATGAAGCTGGAGGTGCAGATTCAGCTGCTGAAGTTCTGCTCTCAGGTCTTTAACTGCGTCTTCCTGGTGAGTTCAGACGACGACTCGAACACAAACGTTTATATTTACCATCTGTCTGAGTGAATCCTGCACTGTGATTGGCTGCTGGGTGTCCATTACTTCCTGATGTAGGACACTGACTAGTTCCAGTGAAACTGTCTGTTCACTGTTCTAAATTAAGCAAATCAAATCTATCAATATGTGATCAATATAGCCAGTGGACAGTCACATGGCTAATAGCTAGCTAGTTTAATTGTTGAACATACTGTCAGATTATATTTACTGTTATTGACTTTTGATCTTGCTAGCGTAACGTTAGCTCTCTGAC